GATTTATAGCATCCGATTGTTAAGCGCAAGGAACGGTCGTTAAACAGCCGAGTCCGTCTGAGATGTCATGAGGGCGAGCATTCGAATTCAGACGATTCGATTAGTCGGATTCGGGAAGCATTTGAACGCTGAACGTTGTGCTACAGTCTTCAGAAGCTTTGTAATACGTACTGAGAAGCCCACAAACGTTTTTGGGCCCAATTAACGGTATCTGACGGCATTGTTCCTCAGAGGAGACAAGATGGAAGACTGCTTGCCCGTCTGCCTCTGGTTGGGAAGTCCCCGAGGAAAGATGGAGAGACATTGGGGGGGGGGGGGGGGGGGGAGAAGTGGGTGACAGCTAACCGCGCTTGAGATACCAGTACATCACAAGCGTTGCCAATAGCGTCTGCGTTGGAAAGAACACGTTGCAGACGTTGTTGCGTAAATAGCAGATGAGAACACCGTGCCCTTACCAAATTTTTCAATCATTTACTTTAAAATCACAAGCTCCATGCCGTCGAGTGGCATGCACACTTGCCTCGGCAAGTGCCGGATTTCTAGGACGACCTGCGACATTCACCCGCCTCCTTGACCTGCTATGTCCCTCACTATACTTTGTGGTAGAAAATGGGAGTAAACAGGCGTGAGAGGGCCGTGGTGATTTCGCCGTCTAGCACAAGTGCTCTGATTTATGTGATAACTTGGAAGTTTCGAATCGGATATGCTATAGTTGTAGGAACGGGTGAGGAAGGGGCCAATGCCCCACATTTCAAGTTGGGGTTGGGGGGAGGGGGGGCGGGCAGCAAGGCAAACAATCCTCCACCTTTCATGATTTATTTGTGTGTATTCTAATTTTGTGCTTCATGAAATATCGATGGAAATTCAACCAGCCCACCAGGTATTGACCACAAAACGCACTGGACAAAAATGCTTTACGTTGTAAGCGGGTACATTCATCGACTCAAATAAAGCAAGATATGGCAGCAACAAAGGTTTTATATACAGTTGGCGACTGCAGATGTTTTGTGACTAACTCCAGTGCACTCTAGTGCTCAACGCTACTTTTTGTCTGTGCATACGACTTGGTTCTGCCTACCCGCTCTACCTGAGGAATAATTCGTAAAGTTAAATGGGTCCATACGAAACCTGTTTAAGAAAAAGGCCTGCACCAATGCATTCTTCATACCCAGGTGAAGCAGCTTGTGCCTGAGAAATACAGTTTCCCAAAGGCGAATTTGTGTTGGGACGTTGGTAAAGAACAATCGGTACCAAATGGTGCAGCAGGCGTCCATACTTGTTTTGCACACCAGGGAGTATTGGCGCCGATTCACGTACTTGGGACAACGTAGTCAGACGATAAGTCAGACGATAAGGCCACATACCGTCATGTGGGTGGTAAGCACCGTCAGCGGGTGGCAGCCAGGTCAGGGTAGAGGCCACCGTCAGCGGGTGACAGCCAGGTCAGGGTAGAGGCCACCGTCAGCGGGTGGCAGCCAGGTCAGGGTAGAGGCCACCGTCAGCGGGTGGCAGCCAGGTCAGGGTAGAGGCCACCGTCAGCGGGTGCCAGCCAGGTCAGGGTAGAGGCCACCGTCAGCGGGTGGCAGCCAGGTCAGGGTAGAGGCCACCGTCAGCGGGTGACAGCCAGGTCAGGGTAGAGGCCACCGTCAGCGGGTGGCAGCCAGGTCAGGGTAGAGGCCACCGTCAGCGGGTGGCAGCCAGGTCAGGGTAGAGGCCACCGTCAGCGGGTGGCAGCCAGGTCAGGGTAGAGGCCACCGTCAGCGGGTGCCAGCCAGGTCAGGGTAGAGGCCACCGTCAGCGGGTGCCAGCCAGGTCAGGGTAGAGGCCACCGTCAGCGGGTGGCAGCCAGGTCAGGGTAAAGGCCACCGTCAGCGGGTGGCAGCCAGGTCAGGGTAGAGGCCACCGTCAGCGGGTGGCAGCCAGGTCAGGGTAGAGGCCACCGTCAGCGGGTGCCAGCCGGGCCAGGGCAGTGGCCGCTGACGGCGGATAGGAGCAAGGAACAGATGAGGAGGATAAGATTCTTTATTCTGCGACGATTGATGCTGTCTTGTTTTTTGTTACAGAGGAATGAACACAGCTTAGTTTCTGTAATGTAATCCTCTTGGCTTATAGACCGTTATTTAAGTCCCTTTGTCACGTTGTTTTTGGTAGACAATAGGCGCGTTCGGCCGCCAGATAGTCTCGGAAAATTATCCGGAATGTAGGGTAATTTTCCGGAATGACCTTCGGCACTGCCAACGCGGAAAATTATCCCAAATAATTTTGCATGCCAAGGGAGAATCCCGGAAAATTTTCAGGGTATGGTCAAGACGGAGTATATGTTTTCGTTATGCATGGCTATGACCGTTGACCGCAAATGGCGCATGGGAGACGAATCTGGGGGATAATTTCCGGACCGGCCGCACGCAACTGGAGAATCTCCGTGGATGATTATCGGAGAGAAAATTATTTGCTGAGTAATTTTCCCTAGCCGAACGCGCTCAATATTTGAACTTTCCGAATTTGCGAATCTGAAAGCTTAGAAAGCTTTAGCTTTTGCGAATGATAAATTTGACCTCGAAATTACGATCAACCCAGCGGTCCTAGATCATGTTTTAGCGTGATAACTGAGGAGGTAAATGCCTTCCTAGTTAGGGGCAACACCACAGACATTTTCCAACGTGACAAACATACCTAGGGGTTTCCTATCTCGATCCCTTTCTTAAAAATGTGCTAAGATTTGCCCTAATTTGTCTTTTGAAAGTACCTCTAAGCAACGGACATAGCGATGAACGCAAGCAGCGGTTTGAACTGAATAACGAGACTCCTCTTGGCCCTGTGGGGCTTCCACCCTTTGTAACCGAGGCCTTCTCTTGGGCTGGCGTGGCTCTCTCTCTGTGTTTGTTTTTTATGGGACCCCGTCTGATGAGGCCTCGGCTTGCTGCTGGCCACCTAGGGCCTCCTGCTGGTGAGGTATCGCTTCCCGCTTGCCATATCCCGACCAACAACACATCCACATAATTTGGATGTGAAACGCGCCTTTCTTATCAATAGGATAGAATGTCTTGTCGGTCATTTTGGACCTTCTGAAGGCATGACGGAACCTCCTGAAGTTTCAAAGTGGGAAAAGATGTGATTACCCCGTTGGTAAAAAAGGAGGCCGAGTGCCCCATCCCCCACAGGTGGCGCCACCCTTGTCCTCAGTCGTGGAATGTTGCCTTCCCAGTGGAAACGATGCTAAAATACATGCATAATGTTAGGGAATGTGCTGTTTTCCGAATGGCGTAGATGTGTCGAGAGAATGAAATTATCCACCGCCAGAAAACAACTTTAGCTGTATTAGCAGCGGGGCCATTTACATAAGGTTCATGCATTAAAAAGGGCAAAATCCTCCATCTCGCCCTTCCCCCCCCTCCCCTCCCCCTAACTGCTCTCCGGTCGCCGGGCATGCCTTTCCGTTATAGAAGTTCCGTAAAATGAGCCTGAGACTGAGCACTAACTTGCAACCTCCCTATATTTTGAGACTTCCCTACACCTATTGAATATTCCATTAAACACATTCGAGCACTTCAATCCGAGAGCTAAGCCTGAGCTCCGGAGTCTGCCGGGCAGGCGGGCCAGCGGATACCTCGGGTTTTCCACAGTGGCGCGTCGCAGCGTCTCAGTGAGCTCATGGACCCGGGGTGTGTCAGTTCGCTGGTCGGGCGGGCGAGCTGTGTCTGTACGTGCACGCGACGGTGATTGGCGGTCTTTTGCCGCGTGAAAGTAGCGTACAAGCTTCAAGAAAAAACGACCCACATTGTTGGATCCCTGTCAGCGCGCCGCTGCAGCGATGACTCGCTCGGAGTACCCGCGGTCAGATCGGTGGCCGCAGACGCGTGCGCTCAGATGCGAGGCCGGATCCCGACTGCGCGCGCTGGCTTGATTCGGATCCCGACTGCCCGCGCCGGCCAGATGCGGATCCCGACTGCGCGCGCTGGCTTGATTCGGATCCCGACTGCCCGCGCCGGCCAGATGCGGATCCCGACTGCACGCGCTGGCTTGATTCGGATCCCGACTGCCCGCGCCGGCCAGATGCGGATCCCGACTGCGCGCGCTGGCCTGATTCGAAAGTCGCGCCGCACGAGCTGAAGATCGCGCTCTTAAGAGACACGTTTATCGGTTTTTGCAGCGGTAGCGAATTATCAACTCGGCGGGCGCGGAAATGAGCGAGAACGCTGCCTTTGCAAGCTCTCCAGGAGATATTTCAAACTGCATCAGCGGGGTGCTTCCGACGTCAACAAACGAGCGCTGCGATGCTCGACAACGCGGCGGCGTTTCCGCACTCAAAACTACCGGCCCTCCCCGCACAGTTTGAGGGCAGAGAGCGCAGAGTTGCGCAGGTCAGACCGCTGCGGCCCTCGAACCAGGGAGTGCCTCCGCACGGCTGCGCGGTCCACAGTGTCGTACAGTATCGCCACATCACCTCCTACCACGGAGCTCCAACGTTGCGCCTCGCTTGGTAGCAAACAGCTTACCGGTTTGGCTGCAGTCACCTCGAACTGTCCCACTAAGAACAAAGCGGCATTATCATTGCAATAACCTGGTCCCGGGCGCTGAGCAATCGCGGCACGCCGTGCCAGCTCGGACGGCGGGATTGTTGTGATGCTGAGTGGCCAAGACCGGTGTCCGCATTACACGCGTCTTAGCAGGCTACCAAGTAGCTGGTAAGTCTCATGGCTGTGGCAGCCAAGAGTCGCCCGGCGCGAACCACTCGGGAAGCCCTACCCCCCCCCCCCCCCCATTCATCGGAGCACCTGTACACTATTGCAGTGACTGGCGAAGCACCGGAAGCGTACCGGACGGCCAGGTCCGTTTGTCGTTGACCGGAAATATCAATTTCCGGTTAGGCTCGGTTTCACCGCAAATAGGACGCGATGACTCACTCTCTGGCGGGGCCTCTCGCGATCGTCCGTCACTCTCGCTGCGCCCAGCGCTTCGACCTCCGCAAGGAGCTTCCCTCCGCGCCCACAACGCTCACATAATAATACAAAATACTATATTTCTCTGACGCGTCTCATATAAAATACACTGCACATTAACGCTCTCGTAAATAAACAAAAACGGTCGCGCGGCAAAATCGTTCCGCCATCCCAACGGGGGAGAGCGGCTCCCGGCGGCGAGGCCGCACCCGGCGCAACAGCGCAACAGAGCGCGCGCGCGCCACGCAACATAGCTATATTTGGTCTTGGTCAGGAACTGGGCGGCAGCGGCGTTACCGGCTGTACGGATACTGGTCTAGGTACGTCTCGAGGGAGGCGGGCAGCGCGCCGTCCGGCCGGCGCGCGTCCCCGGCGGCGGCGGCCGTGTTCAGAGCCAGCCGACAGCAATGCTGCAGGCTGGGCACCTGGCGGCGCAGCGGCCGGCCCAGCCGCATGGTCAGCTGCGGCGTGCCGTCCAGGGTGACGATGCCACACCGGCCGTAATGTTCCACCAACGCGTTGATGTCGGCGAACGTCGGCGTGCTGGACAGCAGGTCGTCCCGCGCGTCCAGCCGGAAGCGGCCACGCACCAGCTGCACACGCACGCTCGTCGGCCCGCGCGCCGTCTGCACACTTAACGCGAACGCGAACTTGTGGTTGAGCGAGTCCCGCGCGAGGAACGTGCCCTCGGCGGCGCCCTGCAGGCAGAGCTCGGCCTGCTGCCAGCTGAGCGTGCCGTAGTACCAGCCGCTCTCTCGCAAGAAGCCGAGCGCGCGCGCCAGCACCCTGCGGTCGTCCTCGACGGGCTCGACCGGCTCGGCCGGCGGCGGCGGCTCGAGGCGCGGCCGGCGCGGGCGCGCCTTGGCCGGCTCGCAGTGCGCCTGCACGCTCACTGTCACGGCCGCCTGGCACCCGCTGATTTCCAGCTGAATGCGGCCGCTCGGCTCGGCCGTCGGCAGCGCGATGGCGATCTGCGGCCCGCCGGTGCCGGCCAGGCAGCCGCCGCTGTGGTGCAGCGGCCGCCGCTCCTTCTCGGCGCCGTGCCCCGCGCCGCTGTTGATGCTGACGCTGACACGGTTGCGCTCGGCGCTCGGGCCGCGCGGTGGCAGCGACCACCAGCGCAGCTCGGGCGAAGTCTCGAGTTCGGCGTCGGGCGCGTCCAGCGCGTCATCCTCGTCGCCGGCGAGTCCGAGGAGGTCGGCGTCGCTGGCGGCGGGCGCCAGCCGCGGTGGGATGTGCTCCCAGAGGTAGCGAGGACGCTCCGGCTCCAGCGCCGCCGCCACGCCGCCGCCGCACCGCTCGTCTGCCAGCGCGTCACCGCCAGCGTCGTCTTCCCAGTCATACCGGTAAAAGTCGGACGCGCACGCGGCGGCGGCGGCGGCGGCGGCGGCAGCGGCGGCAGCGGCGGCACGTTTCTTGTCTCGGCCCGGCCGGCCGCCAGGGCCCATCTCGAACCCACTCTGCACTGATGACAGCATCACGCTGGCTGTTCTATCACCTCCGCTGGGGCTGTTCGCATGCCTCGATCGCGCTCGTCTCGGCTGCACGTCCGCCTCTCTCCGCGGGCGAGCGGCGACTGCCGGTCGGCGGCGCCGCGGCCGACCGGCCGCCCGCGCCGCACGGCCTTCGCCGGCGTTCTCACAACTCGCGCCGAGCCGGCCGGCAAACAGTTCCCGGGATCCGGTCACGTGCTCGTGACGTCGGCCCGGCGGCGTCGTCATGGCGACGGCGACGCCGCGGCGCGGCGGCTAACGCGGCGCGGCGCGGCGCGTCGGCGGCGGCGTCGCCGGACGAGGGGCGACTGGCGTCGGCGCCGACGACCGCGGCCGGTGCGGCGCCGGGGCCCGACGGTCGGCGGGGGCGTGCCTGCACGTCACGGCCGGGCCTTGGCCGGTTCCCAGACGAGCTCGCGGCCCGCGGCTGACGCAATCCGCCCCCCGTGCTCGGCCGAGCCTGAGCGGCGGACGGAATGTCCCGGTGTGTGGCCGTTCCCGGTAGCGGTCCGTGGCGGCGCTCGCCGCACTCGGGCAGCCTTCGTGTTGGCCGGTGGCGGCTCCACCTGCCGGTCGGCGCACGCTGACCTCCGCCAGCCACGGTGCTGACCTTCGTGGTGAGCGTGTTGTGCACGTTGCAAGATGTTGCGACTTGCGCGGTTCGCACATAACGTACATGCTCGTTAGACTGGTGCGTACGTGCCTGCCTTTTCGCCAGCTTGCATCCCTGACGATCTATCCGGTGTTTGTGCAACATATGCCTGTTGGCCTACCACACGTGGCCTACCTATTTGACCTACCATCCGGTGGCCTGCCTGTGCGCCCGCGTGGCCGCCCACCAGCCACACACCAGCCTGTCCTCTGACCTCGGCCCACGCGCCACCTGCCAGCCTGCCTGCCTATCCTGCGGCCTGCCCCCTGCCCGCCCGCCTGCCCGCCTAAACAACTGCCTACTTCTGAGAACACCATCGCGCACAAATTTAGGTCATACGCACAGCGCACGACCTCCTCTTCGTGCGGCGCTGCAGGCTCAGGTCTGCCGGGTCCTCGGGTCAGATGCATGACGGACCGCCGACCAGGTACCTCGGCTCGCAGAAGCCACCGCACTGGCCGGTTCTGATTACCATATGCTGGAGTTTCCGCGAAGTTGCTGGCGTTCAATGCCAGACGTGCACGCTTCGATGTGTGGGGAAGAGGAACGCTTGTGCCCTGGAAGAGCTGTGAATGACCTAACTGGGCGTTGCGGTATCCTACGGGGGGGGGGGGGGGGGGGAGAGACGACGGTGGTGATCGGCCGAGTGTTGCGGCGAGCACTGCGCTGCCGCGGGTTCTATGACAGACTGCAATAATAAGGTGAACGTCAAGGCGAGAAGCTTCGCGGAAGTTGTTGCTCAATGCTCGAGACGGGCTGCGGTGAGGCTGTTGGATTTTCAGCAACGCTTGGAACTTGTGTCACCTTTAAAGCAAATGGCTCGCAGCTATGAAGAGTGGGCACGAGTCACCCTAAATCAACTGCTTAGTCATCATCGGCATCCGGCATATCTGTGTGTCAACTGCCTGTAGTCGATACGGTCGCATCGGGGCCTCTATCGTCGACGCCTCAGCAGCGCTTGCGTTGAGCTCGGTAGGTTCCGAGCTAAACGGACCTCGGCGTGCGCCTCACGTAGGCGTCAAGTGTGCGGTATCAGGAAACCTGTCTCAAGATAAACGAAGCGAGCGTTCTGAGCGGCCGGGTCCGCGAAGGTCACCGACTATCGTGACACCGATGAGCTGACCCACACGTCCCCGGCGGGGCGGCTGGTCAGATCAGCTCGAAACTCGTGCATAGAGCTGGTACTGACGTGGGTTGCATGTCACGACGGTCGTGCTCGGATCTAGCTTCAAAGTCGGGGAGCGTTAGCTCTGCCACAAGGGCTACATGCTCACGTCCCCGTCGATCTCAAACTGACGGGAGAAGACGTCCGTGTCTGTGTCGCGTGCGAGCAAGCGGCCTGTCTCTGAATCGCGAGATCTGGGGTTCGATTCCAGCCAGCGGTAACTGTCGGCTAACTGTATCTGTAACTGTAACGTGGTCAGCTGAAACTGTACCCGACAACGTGCTGGCCACCACCTGAACTAAAGCCAAGCTAGCACCAATACTGGAATCCATAATCTGGCTTTCTGCGCCATACTTCCTCATCCGGTCGTTCCGGTGGAGTCACGTCTCTGCCCCGCACGCACGGTCTCCCTGGACCCGCCCCTGGCCCCTATCACCGCGCGTTGAGTGCTATCCACACGGCGGCGCGTGGGTGCGACCTCTGCCCAGGTTCCGCGAACCGGCATGCCGCTGCGTTCGTCGCCACTGGGCCCGTTTTGCGGAAACACGGCGACGATGCTTTGTTCTCATGTAACGGTCAGCGCTGCGCGATGACTGGAATCTTCGGTGAATGTGACACTGGACGGCACTGTGGTCCGAGAGACTGCTCGTTCGTGCAGGCCAGCGCGGTGTTGCCGCTCGCGCGTGCAGGGGCCGTGCAATGGAAGCTGGGGTCACGGCGCCGGATTTTTTAAAGGTAAACTACGACGGAGATCGAGGCGCCAATAGGACGTGAAAGCAACGCAGTGAGGCTGTCGAGGGACGTGAATCACGATAACGGTAGAAACTGATATGGAGCAAGTTTCTCCCGAACGGTTACGGAATACGTATATACAGCCAGTCATCAGCAGCTGGAAGTGATGTCCGCGCAGTGGCTACTGATTATGATCAATGGCGTTCCTGTACCAGGATTTGTCGGTGTGTAGCGAAAGTAGCAGACAAGAAAGCAACAAGAAGGTGGAAAGCCTCGCAGCCAGCGTTTCGGCGTGACTATCGCCGCAGAGACCTGTCGGACTCATAACACCCCTCCCCTGCTCGGACCTGGACGCGCCCCTGGCGGCCATGGGTCGGAGTCTGCGAACCCAGCCAGAGGTCAGGCCGCTCCCAGCGGCGTCACGCTTGGCAGAATCGTCGTCGGCTGCACAGCGGCATGCACCACAGGGCCGCCGTTATTTGTGGAACTTGGGTCAAGGAAGCACGGCGCCTTGCTTCCGAGACCAGCGCGCGCGACACAGCCGCCTGACTCCGGTCAGCGCCAGCGCCTCTCCAATCGTTCTCGGCGATAGTCCTCTCGCCAGCGCGCCCTGGAGTCTTCGGAGAGTAGTCTGATCTGGTGGAACGCCGGGCACCAGATCCAGATCCGATCCAGCGCCAGATCCGCTCCGCTCGTTAAGGTGTCGGGCCGAGCAGCATTCCCCCGCAGTTTTGTAAGATGGCGCGGGAGGAGACAACACACAAGCTGGAGTCGATGGTGTTTGACTAGCACGAGACGAACCAAAGCTCTTCATCCGAGCTGTCTACCGGGCTGCTGATCCGCTTACCGAGCCGCTGAGCCACCTACTGAGCTGCCTACCGAGCTGTCGAGCTGCCTACTGAGCTGCTGCGCTGCCTCCCAAGCTGCCGAGCTGCCTCCCGAGCTGCCGAGCTGCCTGCCGAGCTGTCGAGCTGCATACCGAGCTGCCACGCTGCTTGCCGAGCTACCGAGCTGCTTACCGAGCTGCCTACCAAGCTGCTGAGCTGCTACCGAGCTGCTGAGCTTCCCATCGAGCTGCCTACCGAGCTGCCAAGCTGCCTACCGAGCTGCTGAGCTGCCTACCGAGCCGCTGGGCTGCTACCGAGCTGCTAAGCTTCCCACCGAGCTGCCTACCGAGCTGCTGAGCTGCTGGTTAATGACAGCGGCCGTCATGGGCGAGCATGATGCGGGGGTTATTGCCAATATTGCGCAGCTGCGCAGAAAACGGGCTGAACACGGAAAAGAGTGGGCACGATGGCCGATTGGTTAACCCCTTCGCTGCCACGTGGGGTGGGAGGCAGGGGCTGGCTCGCATCCCATGCACGCCGCGGCCTCTGAGCGCCAGCACGGCCTCGGCCGTTGCTGACGCTCTGAGAGACAGGGGCGACGACGTGCGTCGCATGCGCACTACAAAAAAACAAAAACATTGCGGAGCAGATTGTCAAGTCTGGCGCACGGGCTGCGCATCTTAAAGAACTCGCAAGAACACGCTGGTGGAAATACACCTGGGCGTCGGATTGGCGCCGCCGTCTTTGTTGGCCGGCCGCCACTGTAACCCCGTACTTGGTGCCAGGAAACGATCGCAAAGATGAGCTGCTGACCAGTCATTGGGCGGAAACTTCGGAAGCCCAAACACGGGCGGAACGTCCGATACATATGGAGAGGCACGTGCCCTGCCCACTTGTGTCCTCCGTAAGGGAGGCTGGCACATGCGGCACGCCGGTACACCCAGATCAGTACAGCCGTGGCGCATGTCCCCTCCGACCATGAGCACCGCCCTTTTTGAGCCCATCTGCTATCGAATAAGCTGGGCAGGTCGTCACCGCAGTTTGTGCGCGACGTCGACTGAGCAAGTCTGACCAGCTGCTGGTGCAGCTGCTAGTCAGCAGGTCTGGCGTGGAGCCAGGGTCAGGTCAGCATGTGTTATGTGCAGCCAGGGTCAGGTCAGCAGGTGTTATGTGCAGCCAGGGTCAGGTCAGCAGGTGTTATGTGCAGCCAAGGTCGGGTCAGCAGGTGTTATGTGCAGCCAGGGTCAGGTCAGCAGGTCTGATGTGCAGCCAACGTCGGGCCAGCAGGTATGATGTGAAGCCAGGGTCGGGTCAGCAGGTCTGATGTGCAGCCAGGGTCGATTCAGTAAGTCTGATGTGCAGCCAGGGTCGGGTCAGCAGGTCTGATGTGCAGCCAACGTCGGACCGGCAGGTCTGATGTGAAGCCAGGGTCAGATCAGCAGGTGTTATGTGCACCCAGGGTCAGGTCAGCAGGTTTGATGTGCAGCCAACGTCGGACCAGCAGGTCTGATGTGAAGCCAAGGTCAGATCAGCAGGTGTAATGTGAAGCCAGGGTCAGGTCAGCAGGTCTGATGTGCAGCCAGGGTCGGGTCAGCAGGTCTGATGTGAAGCCAGGGTCAGATCAGCAGGTGTTATGTGCAGCCAGGATCAGGTCAGCAGGTCTGATGTGGAGCCAGGGTCGGGCAGTATGCCTGCTCCGGCCATCTCGATGCCGTTGCATATCCGGCTGAGGCAATCGGCGGTCAGATGGTGCCAACACCTGGTGCGCGGCAG